AGATGTTGGATGCTGCAGATGTTGGATGCTGCAGATGTTGGATGCTGTCTATCAGGGGCAGCTGAGTCTGACTTTAATCCCGAGCCAGTGGCTAGAACGATAAAATAAAAATTAAATAAAAATACATTAAAGCTTAGTGCAAATACACTTTTTTTTCTCAGATCAGATGCCTCAAATGAAAATATTGCAGGTGGAAATAAATTATGACATTAAACCAACCAGGGAAAAAGTATCTGGGGAAGAAGGTGATGAACGGTTTAGGAGAAATACAGCCAGCAAAGGGGTAAATGGAAAATAGAGACAGGAACAGCTACTATAACATATATCCATAAAGGTTAAATAAATAAATACATGTATAATATCCAAAGTAAAATATGAGGCAAAACAAAAGGAGTCTTAAAAACAACTCCAGTCTGTGATCCTAAAGAGCCAATCAAGCAGTCCAAATGAACCACATTTACTAATCACACGTACAAGGGGAGGTCTAATAAATAGGACAATAATTATGATAATAAAATACTGAATTTGATCGCTTATAATTCCCTCCCTTATGCAGATAACACTCTTAAAATAATAGGGATTATTATTATTATTACTATTATGAACTAGAATTCAAGGATCAATAATTAAGGGTTCTTTGTCATTCACAGCACATGTGGTACGTGAGGTGGAACAACATTGTGTACACAGGGTCACAGTTACATCCAACAAAAGTATTAAAATGTAAAAGAAAAACAGTAATAAGATCTATAAGATCTAAGATATGAACTAAGAAAAACATTAACTAAAAAGACACTAATCACTAATAGCATAAAAACAATTCCTATAGGGCTCCCTGGGAAAGCAGGAGAAAAATTCAAGATGAGGGTAAGTTTCAGATTGGAGAAGAAATTTAGATAGTTAAATAACTGGTGGGGATGGGAAGTCATAAAATACTATGAGTGTATATTAGTTGAACAAACTAGTAAACAGGAGACTATAATATGATGAATAAAATATAAAATATATATTAGAATAGATAATGATGAATACGATTAGAGTTCTGTAGTAAGGGTTAGATATACAACTATTATTATTAACTTTGTGGTGTTTCCATTAAAACAGGAATAATGGGGATATGTATGCATTTACAGAGATGAGTTGCAGATAGGAGATAAAATTCAACAAATTAGGTCAAGGGCGTACACTTCATCTGCGTAAATACTAACCCATCTTTTGATTATTTCTGTGGGACAGATAGGATGCAGTTTGTCCAGACCCATCCTGGCACCACATTAAAACCGATAACCGTTTGCTTTCACAGTAAATTATGCTTCATCAATTATGGGACTAAATACTTTCTAAGCTGTTTGTGTATGCCAAATTGAAACAATTCATCTTTGGAGCAAAATTCTAACAGGCGATCAGTTCTTGGCTACTCCTTGATATGTACGTTATATAATGATTACAGGATGCACTACGTGTGACTCTCAGAAGACGTCCTGATCTCTCAATGGAAACGGTTTCTTTCATTTTTCCAGGTCTGTGTTATTCTTCTTTATCTTTTAGATGTTCCCTCTTCAGGGGTCTCCACAGTGAGTCATCCTCCTCCATCTCACTCTGTTGTCTGCATTTTGTCCTCACTCCATCTCCATGTCCTCTCTAACTGCAACCATATGTCTCCTCTTTGTCTTTTTCCTGACAGATGCATTTCTAACATCCTTCTACCAATATACCACTGTCCCTCCTCTGGACATGTCCAAACCATCTCAGTGTGTCCTCTTTAACTTTATCTCCCAGTTGTTCAACCTGTGCTGTTCCTCTGATGATCTCATTCCTGGTCTTTTCCAACCTTGTCACTCCTAAGGTGCACCTCAACATCTTCATTTCTGACACTTCCAGTTCTTTCTCCTGTTTTTTCCTAAGGCATTTTTTCTCACCCTAAAACATGGGTGTCAAACTCTGGCCAAATTTGGCCCACAGTTTGACCCGCGAGGCAATAACAAATTACTATTAGAGCTGGTCCACTGGTATTTTACAGCGGAGGCGCTGTAACAGCGCATTCACCGCTAATACTACAAATCCCATAATGCTCTGCTGTTATTTTGGCGCTGATTACATCATTAGCGAGCTCCCGTTTGGTGGACGCGACCGCTGTTGCAAGCCGGGCAAGTCGTCTAACCGCAGGTTTTCCGCGCCTTTCGTTACACGCTCAACTCAGTAGCTATCCGTGCTTCGGCAGGAAAGCCCCCGCTCACCCCGCGTCTCTCCCCAGACCACGCTGCGACCTCATACTACGACTCTCACCGTGTTAACCCTTTCCAAAAACGGCGAAAAGAAAAGCGGAAAGCAGAACTTTTTTGGACAGGTGGGAGGCAGAAAATGTGTTTACATATGTAAAAGACAGACCTGTTGTCTTGTTTGTGGAGCCCACTGTCTGTAACTAAGGGTACAACATTAGACAACACTACGAAACACCAGAACAAGTACAAGAACCTGGACATGACTCAAAGGAGCCAGAAAGTAGAGGAGATTGTAGTGAACTAAGCCTCAGGTCAAAATCTGGCCTTGAGGGCCTTCCTGGGACAAGAACTGTATTTCATTGATTTGGGTCCAGAAACACAAGATTAAGTTCATCCAGAGACTTTCTAAGTGTCCTGCACTGATCAATTGAAAGAACACTCTCTTTTTTTATTATCATTACTATTTTACAAATGTTTGATAATCAAAGTGTGTTTAGTTCAAACCATTTTTAAATGGTGAAGTGAACTACTCATTTTTAATCAACTGTGAAACAGTATTAGTGATTTTTAATCCTCATGCAAAGTAGAAATCACGTTAAGGTCTGTTACAGAGTAATTATGCATTTTCTGATTTTCTGTCTTTGAATGAGCAAGTGTAAGTTGGTCCAAGGTTGGAGTCAAACGCAAAACAAGTTGTTGGAACGAACTGTTATGTTTTTAAATCCTCTCAGACGTAAATATAGAGGCTGGCACCTGTTTTCCCCCAACTCGCCTAAATATTCCTCTCGTCTGTCTTTAAAACATTTTCAATCTGTTCCATAACATTCTTGCTGTTTTTCTGACTTCTAGTGACCTCTTAAAAAAAAACACACCCCTGTCTGGTCGAAACGACCAATCAGGAACCTCCCAAGTGAACCGGAAATAGAACTCTTTAAATGTCGGTACTTCCTAGTTCAAAGCAGTCGCTTCAGGTTCCAGCTTCAAGCGCCAGCTCCAGTCGAGTGCGGTGGGAGAGAAGTTCAGTTCTGGGAGCAGAACCGAACCGAGAAGTGCTGGAGAAAACAGGAAAATCCCGACATGATCCGCAGTTCTTCCGAGTCTTGTGGGGATTATGACATCTTCCACCTCTGAGTGGAACTTCTGACGGACTCCACTCATGTGAGTCCACCAAGAGGTGAACTTGTGTCGAACAAGTACCGTCACTACTTCGGACGATTCACAGCTGTTCCTACGGAGACGCTGAAAGGGTGCGTTAAATGGAACTTCGTACCAGTGGAGACATCTCCAGGTAAAGAGTTGATTTATACCACCTAAGTGTACCGGGGAAGAAGCTGGGAACTCACCGGAGAGTGCCGTTCTGATGCCGACACACACATTTCCCTCATCCATCCTTTCTCTCAACTTAAACTTCAATTTCCATCTTTAAACTCTTCTATCTGCTAGAAATCATTCCAGATATTTTTAGAAATGTCTGTTGTACAGCTGGAAGCAAGGGAAACCATCGCCGTATGGTTTCCTCCTTGTAAAACTTGCTAAA